AGCTGGGATTACAGGCACCTACCACCATGCCCAGCTAATTTTTGTGTGTGTATTTTTAGTAGAGACAGAGTTTCACCACATTGGCCAGGCTGGTCTCGAACTCTGACCTCAGGTGATCCGCCCGCCTCAGCCTCCCAAAGTACTGGGATCATAGAAGTGAACTGCCGTGCCCAGCCATCTGCTGAGCTTTATCAAACTATATATATTCCCAGAAACTACAGAGCCTATCACATATATCAGAATGCCATTTTATGCTTTGCACTAAAGATTCCTCCACTAGTCTACGTTCTAAATTTAAAAATTTGGAGGCCGGGCATGGTGGCTCATGTCTATAATCCCAGTACTTTGGGAAGCCGAGGCAGGTGGATCACAAGGTCAAGATATTGAGATCATCCTGGCCAACATGGTAAAGCCCCGTCTCTACTAAAAATACAAAAATTAGCTGGGTGTGGTGGTGGGTGCCTGTAATCCCAGCCACTCAGGAGGCTGAGGCAGGAAAATCGCTTGAGCCTGGGAGACGGAGGTTGCAGTGAGCCGAGATCGTGCCACTGCACTCCAGCCTGGGTGACACAGCGAGACTCCACCCTAAAAAAAACAAAACAAAAACAAAAACAAAAAAACTTGGTATATTATACTTTTGAGCTCAATCTCCACAATACTTCAGTATATACTTAAAAACATATGCCCTTGTTTTTCTAACATCCTATGGTTCTTTTCTTTTTCAGTTAGCCTGAAAAAAAAATTCTGCTATAAATGAGATTTAGAGGCTGAGTTAGCAAAATTTTCTCATTTTAGAAATTTGCCTTTTGTTAGCTGGTAACAGTGAAAAAAAAATTCTTTAGTATTCTCTTCGAAAAACTGAAAGAAATATGAACTGTATGAATGAAATTAGGAAATACCTCAGGATATCTCTAGGATTTAGGGGGCTATCCCATAAATTAGTAAAATCTGAACTAAGATTTTCATCGTGAAATTTTCCACATTTTGAAGATCCCCAAAATGTCAGTGTATGTATAAAGGATGTTTAATTTTAACTCATATGTAACCACAGCTTAGTTCTTTATACCTAAATCACATATAGTAATAAAGCAAGATGTCTAGTTGTCCTAAGTTAACTCCCTTTGGATTATAATACTTGGAATAAAGTATATTTACATTAGCCATTAGGGAAATGCAAATTTAAAATACAACTTCATACTCACTAAATGGCTATAATCAAAAAGACAAACAATAACAAGAATTGACAAGGATATGTTGTAAAACTGGAACCCTCACACACTGCTGGTGGGAATGGAAAGTGGTGCAGCCACTTTGGAAAACAGCCTGGAAGTGCCTCAAAGGGTTGAACACAGAGTAACCATTTGACATAGCAATTTACTCCTAGATATATAACCTCCCGAAAAATAAAAACATACATCCAAACAAACACTTATACACAAATGTTCATTTGCAATATTCGTAATAGCCAAAAAGTAGGAAGCAGCCACATGTTTATGAACAGACAAATAAAATATGGTATATCCATACAATGGAATATTATTCAGCAATAAAAATTATTACTGATATATGCTGCAACATGGATGAATCCTGAAATGTTACACTAAATGAAAGAAGCCAGTAACAAAAGAATACATATTATGCAGTTCTACTAGTGAAATGCTCAGAATAGACAAATTTATAGACAGAAAACAGACTTGTGGTTGCCTAGGGCTGCTGGGGATTGAGAATTGGGGTTAATGGCTAAAGGATGCAAACTTTCTTTTGGGGTTGATGAAAATATTCTAAAATTAATTGTGGGGGTGGTTGTACAAACCTGTAAATATACTAAAAGCCACCAAATCATACACTTTAAGTGGGTATGCTGTATGGTATATGAATATTTCAATTAAGTTTTCTAAAAAGTATATTTGGTTCCTACACTCTTTTTTTTTTTTTTCTTGAGACAGATTTTGCTCCTGTTGCCCAGGCTGGAGTGCAATAGCTCAATCCCAGCTCACCACAACCTCCGTCTCCCAGGTTCAAGCAACTCTCCTGCCTCAGCCTCCCGAGTAGCTGGGATTATAGGCATGCACCACTATGCCTGGCTAATTTTGTATTTTTAGTAGAGACGGGGTTTCTCCATGTTGGTCAGGTTGGTCTCAAACTCCCCACCTCAGGTGATCCGCCTGCCTCGGCCTCCCAAAGTGCTGGGATTACAGGCATGAGCCACCGCACCCGGCCAATTCCTATGGATAGTCTTAAAGCATAAACATAAGCATTCGAAAACTTCAGCCTTGACTGATTGACAGATAGATAGATAGATAGATAGATAGATAGATAGATAGATAGATAGACAGACAGACAGACAGACAGATTAATAGAAAGACTTTTTTGAGATGGAGTTTCACTCTTGTCGCCCAGGCTGGAGTGCAGTGGCACAATCTTGGCTCACTGCAACCTCCATCTCCCGGGTTCAAGCGATTCTCCTGCCTCAGCCTCCCGAGTAGCTGGGATCACAGGCGCCTGCCACCATACCCGGCTTATTTTTGTATTTTTAATGGAGATGGGGTTTCACCAAGTTGGCCAGGCTGGTCTCTAACTCCTGACCTCAAGTGATTTGCTCACCTCAGCCTCCCAAAGTGCTGGGATTACAGGCATGAGCCACCATGCTCGGCCCAGACTTGATATTTTAAGTAGGGTTGCAAGAAATCTAGTTAAATTCAATAACAACCATAGTGAGTCTTCAAATGGTTGTTGTGGGTGATCATTCTAAACTATGAGCTGCATATCGCGTATACATATTTTACATATTAAATGAACATGTATTAGATAAAGAATATCTGACCTGTTTAGTTCTCTTAGCCATGAGAGCTGGACTCTTTGTAATGCTACTCCCAGTAGGGTGTCTACTAAAACAAAGTTTCAACTCCTGCGGTCTGTCAAAAAGCTTAAGGTCCAGTCTTGGAAAGTATTTGTAACTAAAATAAAAAGCAAAAATAGAACTGCTGATTTAAAACACACCAACTCTTCATATTATTCCAGCGTTTAGGCAAATATTTCTAAACTTCAAATAGTACCCAACATTATTTTAAATGCTTATATAGAAAAAATACTTTTTAAAATTTTTAAATGCTATAACATACAGAGACCACCTTCATGAAAATTTTATCTCTTCCCCACCCTAGTTGTCATTTTCAATCAATCTCTAAACCACAGAAAACTCTGATTAAAGGGAGAAATAACTCCTTCAAGAGAATCCATGTATTCCATAATTTATGTTTTAAAAAATTTTAGTATACTTCATAATTTTATGTTTTTCTTCATAAAATTACCTTGCATAGGTATTTAAAACAAAAAAACCCATAAAATTTTTATTTTAAGGATGTACCACAATTTAAGCAGTTTTTCACTGCTGGACATTATGAGGTTGTAGATTGTTTCTAAATTTCTCCAATTAAATATTTTCATATGTATATCTTTGTGAATACTTTTGCTTAATTTCATAGGATGAATATCCAATAATAGAATTTGCTAGGTCCATGTTTATCAAAAGAATTAAAATTATTATAATTAATATCAAATTATTTCAAAAAAGATTATACTTAAACATACATTCTAACTACTAGCATAACCTATTCTCAATGTCAAAAGTTTCTATTCATCAATTTGGTTTGCATTTCTTTGAATGCAAAAAACCATAACATATTTTTATATTATTGACTTTGGCTTTCTTGGAAATTGTCTACTTATTTCTTTTGGCCAATTTTCTTCCAGGAGATATTGCCTTTCCATATTTGATTTTATCTTGTTTGTCAGTATCTGCATTCCAATTTCTAGCAGTTAAGCCAAAGTAGAAAAGAATTCTATAGTTAACATGAAATCAAAATAGTATTTAATTAACCCATTCAATCCCAGATATATTCTTCACTCTGATCCAGTCCTCTTGATATTATACATTAATTCTCTATTTTAGGAAGGTACTTACTTTACTTTCCATTTTAGAAATTTTTTTAGAAACACAGCCTAAGACAATAACTGTGTACGTACACAAAGATATAGACAGCAAATAACTACAGACAAATCCGTAAGAGGCTAGTTAAATAAATCATAATAAATGCATACAATGTGGTCATTACAAATGATAAGGCACAAACATACTTAATGGCATGGGAAAACGTTCAGACCACTAAAGGCAAACATAGATTACAAAGGGAATCTACCTGATGAACTCATACATGCAATATATACACACATAAATCCACATAAATACATGCCCACAATTGTCAAGAGACACAAGTACTGGTGCTAGAATGATGTATTAGTTTTTCATTTTCGTTTGATTTTCTAAATTTATTAAATTTGTAGTAATAAAAAAACTACAAAATTCATTCTAATTTCTTAAAAGAGTCACATCCAAATCCTATCTTTTATCTTAAAAAATAGTAAATTCCTGGCCCTCTACCTTAAGTTTTCTCGGAAAATTACCAATTCATAAGAATTTCACAGTCTTTGTATCAACAATAAAACTCCCAAAGTGAGCGGGAAGCCTCATAAAAGTAACATTTTTCTTCTTCAGAATTGAAACTTTTAAAGATTAAAATACAAACACTAAGGTAAACAATGATCAACATCTGACAATATCATCCAATTTTTAAATTATAACACCTAGTGGCATTTCCATAAAATATTTATCTACATTAGTTCACCAAATTAATAACGAAAATGAGTTTCACAAAAGACTAATATACATATCTACTAATAAAAATTAAAAGAAACTAATAGGCTGTGCCTAAATAGCTCTTTGAAAACTTCCTACTACCTGTACTTTGGTGACAGGTCCTTTCCATCATCAGGAGGTGGCTCTAGTGGCATTATAAATACAGTATGCTCACTTTTCTGTGAATCATCCAGTTCTATTAATCTGGTATCTTCTGCTGAATCAAAATCAACCTGAAAATAATTATTTTTCCCCAATTAATTTGCATACAAACAAGATCTAATTCTGAAATTTCAACCCTTAAAGTCTAAGAAAAACATACCTTATCTGATTTCTCTGTGCCTTTATCAGGAAACAACTAGAAAAAAAGAAAACAGATTCCTAATGAAAATGTCCACTATGAATTTAATAGACATTTTTATCTTACATTCTGATTTAGAAAAAAACTACCCCTTTTCAGTACCAGCTGATACAAAACATTGCAAAGTATATTTTTAGGCTAACTACATACTCTTAGGCTAAAGCATAATTTTTTACTTGTGGCTATTAGGATAGAAAACTACTTTGATTAGTCATTTTGTAAACCTTAAGACAAAAGATGACCAATCACAAGGTTATCTGACTTCTCAAATAAAAAATTTCATTATTATTAAGCCCCTTTATTAGTGATTGACATTAAGCTTCTCATATAACTGGAAGACACTGGAATATCAATTTTGTAAATAAACAAAAATGTTGAATAGTTTTAATTATATACCTGGAATTTTAGATCACACTGATAGGAGAAAATTATTCAAATCTTCCAAGGCACATGAATCATGAGGGGGCCAAAAAAATTAATGTTGTAATATTCTACCTTTTTTGGATACAATCTCAAATGTTATATAATATACGGTTTGCATAAAAAACTGGCCCCAAGATCTACTTAGCAAAAATAAGAATTATATTAAAAATTAGGAAAAATTATAACCAAGTCATTGCTGTCAAGAATCAATTTTAACTTCCTTAGGATGGGTGGGTAAAGCTTTAAAATTTAACATTTCCATCTTCCAATAGAACAAAAGAAACATACTAGGCAAAAGAATTTGGAAAGACATTAAAACAAAAGAACACAACTTCTATTACCCATAAAACTAAACATTTTTTAATTTAAAAACCTAAATCTTAAAGTAAATCTTATTCATTTAAATTAAAAAAAAATAAACTCACAAGGCTCAAGGAAATGTTCTTAGTTTTACAACTCAATAGTTGTAAAAGAAAGTGAGATTTAAAGAGAAAATTTACTGGCTGGACATGGTGGCTCATCCTGTAATTCCAAGGATTTGTGAGGCCAAGGTGGGAGGATCGCTTGAGCCCAGGAGTTTGAGACCAGCCTGGGCAATACAGTGAGACCTCATCTCTACTAAAAATTTTAAAAACTAGCCAGGCGTAGCACATGCCTGTAGTCCTAGCTACTCGGAAGGCTAAGGTGGGAGAATCACTTCAGGCAAGAAGTTTGAAGTTGCAATGAGCTATGATCATGCGACTGCAACCCAGCCTGGGTGACAGAATGAGATGCTGTTTCAATCAATGGATCAATCAATAAAGAAGAGAAAACTTGGCTATATGTGGTAGCAACTTGATACCACAAAGAAAATTATTCTTATATTCAGCCCAGAATCAGTAACACATACACACACATACACAACCCTATACTGTCTTCCTTATATCACTCTAGACTAACAATAACAATGATAATTATACAGGTAAGGCAAACTTTTTTTTCTAAACACTAGTATAAGTACAAACTTTTACCTTTTCTATGCAATCATCAAAAAATGCTAATCCAGTATCTTTATCACTTACAAAACTGCATTCTTCAATGAAACGAATAAAAATCTGTGTTTTGGATAAAAGGGTATAGAATTTTGCATAGGCACGATCTCGACTTTTTAAAAACCCTGAGGAAAACAAAATTATAATTAAATTCAAATTTTAAACTGGAATTCGATATTATAGTAAACATTAAACTTGTACTTATCTATATTACATTCTCTTTATCTATATGTGTATATATCGACATTTAAAGAGAAGCTTCTACAAATTGAGTATCCCTTATCTGAAATGCTTGGAACCAAAAGTGTTTGAGATTTCAAATTTTTTTTTTTAAGATTTTGAAATATTTGCATGCGCACAATCAGATATCTTGGGGATGAGACCCAAGTAAACAGGAAATTCATTTATGTTTCATATATACGTTATACACAGTCTGAAGGGAATGTTATACAATACTTTCAATGATCCTGTGCATGAAACAAAGTGTGTGTTAAGTACTTACGTGTGGAATTTTCCACTTGTGGCATCATGTCAGCACTCAGAAAGTTTCAGATTCTGGGCATTCCAGGTTTTGGATTTTCAGATTAGGGAAGCTCAACCTGTAGTAACTACATATATAGCTCCTTTTGCCTAACTAAACCATGAAAAATACTTAACTTCTATCAACCCCTTCACTGAAATCTGAATCCCCTATAAGGAACCTCCAGCTCTACAACTTTTAAGTAGAAATTTCTCTGATACTCTGCATACTCTTGAGTCCATCGTCAATTTCCAAAGAGCCAATGTCCTTCCTCTTTAATGTCACAAGACCATTATTTCTGTATTGTTTTTCAAATTTCTGCTTATTAAAGTTTCAGGCATCTGGCTATTCCACCATTTCCTCTATTAATCGTAGTCCTCTATTAATTGCAGGGACACTCCTTCATTCACTGAAGACCAGGACATTTGATTCAAAGTCTCCTCCTTTCTAATCCCTACCACCATCATTCTTCCACACCCAGAAACACAAATCATGAAAACACTTTAGGTTCGTCTTCATTCCTTTTTTTTTTTGAGACAGAGTCTAGCTCTTGTCCCCCAGGCTGGAGTGCAGCGCCGTGATCTTGGCTCACTGCAACCTCCGCCTCCCAGGTTCAAGTGATTCTCTGCCTCAGCCTCCTGAGTAGCCGGGATTAGAGGTGCCCATCACCATACCTGGCTAACTTTTGTATTTTTCGTAGAGACAGGGTTTTACCATGTTGATCAGGCTGGTCTCGAACTTCTGACCTCAGGTGATCAGCCCGCCTCGGCCTCCCAAAGTTCCGGCATTACAGGCGTGAGCCACTGCACCTGGCCTCTTTTCTTTTAAGAGATGGGTGTCTTGCTATGTTGACAAGGCTGGTCTCGAACTCCTGGCCTCAAGTGATCCTCCCATCTTAGCCTCCCAAACTGCTAGAATTACAAGCATGAGCCACCATGCCCAGCCTTCATTCCTTGATTTTCAATGTTCCTATGCTCCATCCTACCTCAATCACCAACTTCAACACACAGTCACAGTCCCTTGACTTTACTTGCTAGCATTCAAAGCAGCACTGCCTTCCAAATCTCTCATTTTCACATCACTCCCAGCCCATCACCTCTGCCTATCTGGTCTCTTTAATTAAGTATTTCTACTAAGTGTTTTAGCGTTTTCTACTGGGGGAGCAGAGAGGGAAGGCTCATTGAAATCTCCAATCCACTGGCCCTTTTACCTCCACATACATCCTCCCATCTTCACTTCTTTCTCTATCTAATACTGATTCCATGCTATATCCATCATTCCAATTACTGTTTTGTCAATACTCTCAACCCTTTTGCTCTTTTGTCTTTTTGGTTAAACCTACCTAGCATAACCCAGCTCTGGAAGAATGTACTGCTTGCCTTCTCTGGATCTGCATTAGGGTGACTAAGCATAAGTTAAGGGGAAAAAAGTTCCACAACTAGGCAGATTAGAAGCACTTATACCTTCATCCCTGACCAGCAATCCTACTACATTTCTAGAATCAATTTAATTTTCCTTTTCACGTTTCCACAACTATTTCCTATTTGTATATGCTCTCCCTTCATGTTTTTGTGCCCTCTCCGTACCCCGAAATGACATACTTTATATTGCAATGAAAATGCAGATCATTAAATAGAAACTATGTATACTATCTCACTACATAACTTACCACTCTTTAACAGTTATCATTCATTCCTTCTGTCTTTTTACAGTGGATATGTTCCTCCTCCTATCTAAGGACAAACCATCACGTGACTTCAGGATTCCAGCTCCTTCCAGGGTTCTCGGGATAAATCTCCCTCTCTATTAACTACTTCTCTCTTTTTTTTTTTCTTTTTTGAGATGGAGTCTTGCTCTATTACCCAGAATGGAGTTCAGTGGTGTAATCTCGGCTCACTACAACCTCCACCTCCCAGGTTCAAGTGATTCTCCTGCCTCAGCCTCCCAAATAACTGGGACTACAGGCATGCGCCACCACTCCCGGCTAATGTTTGTATTTTTAGTAGAGACAGACGGGGTTTTGCCATGTTGGCCAGGCTGACCTCAAACTCCTGACCTCAAGTGATCTGCCTGCCTCGACCTCCCAAAATGCTGGGATTACACGCGTGGGCCACTGTGCCCAGCCTCTATTAGCTATTTTTCATCAGCATACTCAAGTCTCTTTTTCTATCTTAAAAAAAAAAAAAAAGCCTTCGATCTGCTCCTTCCCTTTTTTCTGTTGTTTTACTTTTTATAAAGGGCATGGCCATTCACTTGGTTGTTAAAGGCAAAACCCTCAAAGCTGCTCTTGATATCTCCCACTCTATCTTACATTCCATATTCAATTACCAGGTTCTACTTGATCTAATTCCTAAACAAATCATTCTTCTATTCACACTATCATCAATTAATCCAGGTCACCTCTAATAATCCCTAGAACCAATGTGGCTACTTCCTAAATAGAAGATCCATGCTTCAATGCCTCCAGTACAATCTCTGTATGGAAGCCAAGGAGATTCTTCTTTTTAACATTTCAAAGAGTGACTTTTTAAAAAATGCAAATCTGATCCTATTACCTAATGAAATATCCTTTACAGGCTTCCAATTACTCTTAGGATAAAAACTGAAACCAGCACTAATCCTAAAACGTCCTGCATAACTTAGTTAATGCCACCATTTCAAACATGGTTTTCTCTGCAGCCTTTCTTTCTTTGATGCTGTGGTCCTGATTCCCATCCCTTTTATATACTAATTAGTAGAGAAAAGCTTAAATAAAATAGAAATAAATTATTCTCCACAAGTTATAATGAAAAGGCTTTCTTTCCTTCTAGTGGATCCAGGCAATGATAGCAAAGGCTGCTAAACCAAATAAGTCAAAGGCTAACGGGTGACCTACAATGAATGAATGAGGCTGACAACACCTTAAACCTATTAGGAACACTAAAAGTAGGACAGCCAGACATGTATGTGCCTCTCAAGGTGATGCAATAGGAAGAAGTGAACACCATGTATTTTGGCACTTCTTGCCAAGATAATTAAACCTGAATCTAACCAAGCCGCTAGATCTGCACTGTTTAATTCAGTAGTCACTATCTTCATATGGCAATTTAGCACTTGAAATGTAACTGATCCAAATTAAGACACACTGTAAGAAAAAAATACATGCCAGAACTGAAAGATGTGGGCCAAGCGCAGAGGCTCACGCCTGTAATCCCAGCATTTTGGAAGGCCAAGGCAGGCGGATCACCTGAGGTCAGCAGATCGAGACCAGTCTGGCCAACATGGCTAAACTCCGTCTCCACTTAAAATACAAAAATTAGCCAGGCATGGTGGTGCACGCCTGTAATCCCAGCTACTCGGGAGGCTGAGGCGGGAGAATCACTTGAGCCTGGGAGGCAGAGGTTGCAGTGAGCCAAGACTGCATCACTGCATTCCACCTGGGCAACAGAGCAAGACCGTCTTTATTTAAAAAAAAAAAAAAAAAGAAAAAAGAAAAAAGATGTTTGTGAAAAAAATGTAAACGATTTCATCAATAATTTTAAAAATCAGATTACATGCTGAAATGCTACTATTTTCCCCCTATTTTTCACTTTTTTATTGTGGCTACTAAAATAATTTTAAATTTTATATGTGGCTTACATTGTGTTTCTACTGGACACTGCAGCTCTTGAACCTACCACAAGTTTACAGGCAATACAAGTGGTAGAAGAAATGGTAAATAACAACATAAGGTAAAATAAGCCAAAACCACATATACAAAATTCCTAGTTAATTACTATTGCTTTTTAGACCCAAACTTAAAAGTAGCACACCAAAGGATACCTTAGGACACTAATATTCCTTGTTATTTCTTCAAGGAATATTTCTCTGACCTAACTAGCACTAACGCTGTGATCAATACTTTCCTTCAAAACACACTTCTTAAGATAGTTAGTATTTACATTTTTTTCTTGTCTAACGTCTGTGTCCCCTAGTAGACCAAATGCTGAACTGTTTACAATAAAACCTTAGGGCCTGAAAACTGAGTAAGTATCTTTTCAAATTCCTTTAGTGATGTCACTCCCGTACAATCCATATTCTTCATCTGGCATTTACAACTACCCACAATCTGAGCCCTAATCTTATTTTCAGCCTTATCTTCCACAGCACCTCTAAAGCTCATCACTCTGGTCAAATTGTACCATGTAATCTTTTTTCCCAAATGTGCTGTCATGAGTGAAACTGTGTCCCCCTCAAAATGTATACATACATATATATATATGTTTTTTTTTTTTTGAGATGAAATTTCAGTCTTGTTGCCCAGGCTGGAGTACAGTGATCTCGGCTCACCACAACCTCTGCCTCCTGGGTTGAAGAGATTCTCCTGCCTCAGTCTTCTGAGTGGCTAGGATTACAGGCATGTGCCACCACGCCTGGCTAACTTTTGTATTTTTAGTAGAGACAGGGTTTCACCATGTTGGCCAGACTGGTCTCAAACTCCTGACCTCAGGTGATCGGCTTGCCTTGGCCTCCCAAAGTGCTGGGATTACAGGCATGAGCCACTGTGCCTGGCCCAAAATTTATATATTAAGTTCCTAGCCCCTAGTACCTCGGAATGTAACTATTTGGAGATAGGGTCTTTAAAGAGGTAATTAAGCTAAAATGAGGATTATGGGGTAGACCCTAGTTCAGTAAGACTGGTAGCCTTGTAAGAGGAGGATATTTGGACATAAGACAAACACTGAAGGAAGACCACATGGAAAAAACAGCTATCTACAAGCCAAGGGAAGAGGCTTCAGAAGAAACCAAACCTGCTAACTACCTTCATCTCAGTTAAACCTCCAAAACCACGAGAAAATAATTTCTGTTGTTTAAGCCACCTAGTCTGCGGTATTTTGTTATGGTAGACCCAGCAAACTAATCTGCAGGCCTTGTGCTTTAGATCTTGATGCTACTTCCATTTTATTACCATGAATGATAATAGCTGTTATCATGAGTATTTTAAAGTACTTGTACTAGTTGCTTCACATATATTTTCTCATTTAATCTTCACAACAATGAAGTAGATATAGCCCCCATTTTATTAATGAGAACACTTTATTTTTTTTTTTTTTTAATTTTTTTGAGACGGAGTTCCACTCTTGTCACCCAGGCTGGAGTGCAATGGCACAATCTTGGCTCTCTGCAACCTCTGTCTCCCAAGTTCAAGTGATTCTCCTCCCTCAGCCTCCTGAATAGCTGGCATTACAGGCACATACCACCACACCCGGCTAATTTTTATATTTTTCGTAGAGGTAGGGTTTCACTATGTTGGCCAGGCTGGTCTTGAACTCCTGACCTCAGGTGATCTGCCTGCCTTAGTCTCCCAAAGTGGTGGGATTACAGGCATGAGCCACTGCGTCCGGTCGAGAAAACTTGACTTCCAGAAAGCCTTTCCTGTTCTTCTCCATTTACCTCTATTCCACCCATTCTTCTAAGTCATGCTTCTTCCATGAAGTCTTCCAAAATTTGAAAGACTTCCATAAGTCTTTCAAAATACTCATTTTGAAATACTGGAATATTTGGAAGAATATCCCTTTTTTTTCTGAACTCTTAAAACTTCCAAATTAAAACTGTGTAAAATATGTTTTCTTGACTACTTGTTCTATTTTTAAAATATTTTAATTATTTGCCATTTAAGACACCATAGAGCTAGGTTTTATACTTCTTTACATTCCTACATAACTAGCCAGTAAGTGGTAACTAAATATTTAAGTGGTAAGTTATCTTAAAGCAGAAAAGATAAAAGACAAAAGGATTAATGGAAAAATACAGATTTTTTTTGTAATCGCTAGGTAAAAAGCACAGAAAAGTAAAATAATTTCAAATAAATATTGATATAGATGTAAGATTGCTACTATATATATAACAGTAGCTCAATAACAACAAAAATCTCTATCTATAATTCCCTAAAACAAAACACACTAAAAATAATGAGTATATGTTTTTCCCTGGAACAAAGCTACATTAGTCAAAAATGTTTAAAATGTGGTGCCCTCATTGCACAAACTAATTGTAAAGCCAAAAGTGTATACATCTGGCCAAGTGCAGTGGCTCACATCTGTAATCCCAGCATTTTGGAAAGCCGAGGGAGGAGGATCACTTGAGGCCAGGAGTTCAAGTCCAGCCTGGCCAATATAGCAAGACTCCACTCTATTAAAAACAAAAAAAAGAAAAAAAAAGTGTACAAATCCAAGAACTACGGAAAATTGAGGAAATACCTAAATACCTGAAGGCAAATCTCCAGTTATGTTCTACTAAGATAACTGACAAGGTATTGTAAATATAGGTAACACCTTTGACTTTTCATAATTAAATATGCCTAGTTTCAGATTTCTCAGGAAAAAAATGGGCTATAAAAATTACAAGAAATTCTAGTCATAAAGTTCGGTTACAAATACATGGAAGTTCATTATATTTGAATGTGAATTTGTAATAATTTATACAGTAAGTATTTCTTGGCAACAACATCAAATATAAAATATTTTCACTTCAATAAAAGGAATTGTACTTTCAGTGCTACCCACCCTGTCGGTCAAACAATGAATCAGCAGCTGTGGCTTTATTTGAAGGAGCCTCTGTGATTGGTCTGAGAAATGTTCTATATCCTTTTAAAATAGATGCCATAAAGCGCAAAAATGCCTCTTGAATTTCCATCTCAAGCTGTGTCATCTTCTTTTGCCAGGAGAAATCTGCTTCAATTGGAGTCATGTCAATCGCTGAGCCTTCTTGAGTTTTTCGGTGAACTAACAAAGGAAAGAAAAACAGAAAATGGTATTATGTTAAATTTAAGAAGAATTTTCTCATATACATTCCTTCATTAATAGTATTCCTTTTCCCTCACATTACCTGAAGACAGCTGGGGATACAATTTCTTTAAGGTGCTAAGTAGATTTTTGCATGGCTTTTTGGGAAGTTGCTTCCAGTTCATGTTCTTCTTTTCATCTGATCTATTAAATCAGAACAAAATTCATAAAATGTGTTATTCATAATCTGCTTTTACTAAACAAAATTCTTGCATCAATCTAAAACTAGAAAATGGAAAAGATGTTTTTACTGCAGTCATAACTGATGCAAACAGTTTGAATAAGTGAATTTCAAGGAAGTTCTCTTTTCATTCAACCAACCTCTGTCAAATTTAGCCATCTCATTCTAACCTTCCAACGCGTATTTTCAATGCTGGAGTCAGGAATACAACACTGAAGTCTAGCTTCAAAAACTACATTTTAGAATTATAATATTCTAAGCGTCAAATCTAGTTGACTTGAGACTTCAAACTACCTACTGGTAGGCTTCTAAAATGCTGTGTGCCCAAAGAGAAGAATTGGAATTTAAGTAAGGATTAAAAGTATCATCCAGCCCTCACAGTTAAAAATAAATTAATCATAACACCATTATTCAATATAATCTATGATCATGAAACAACAAAAACCAAAGCCAGACCACCCTGGCCAACATGGTGAAACACCGTCTCTACTAAAAGCACAAAAATCAGCTGGGTGTGGTGGTGTGTGCCTGTAATCCCAGCTACGCAAGAGGCTGAGGTAGAAGAATCACTTGAGCCTAGGAGGCCGCGGTTGCAGTGAGCCGAGATTGCGCTACTGCACTTCAGCTTGGGCAACAGAGCAAGACTCTGCCTCAAAAACAAAACAAAACAAAACAAAAAAAACCCAAAGCCATAGAGATGACCATTTTTAAAGGTATTACTAAAAGCTTCTGTTTCCAAAACTTTATATTCCAAAAATACAAAATATATATATCTCTGTGTGTGTATATATATATATTCCAAGAATATAAGAATATAAAATACAACAGACAGAACTGCCTAAAAAGCCCTCTTTTTACAAAAGTTAACATAAATATAACAAATGTTCTTTAAAATTCATGGCTAAGCTGGCAAGAAAATCAGGGAAATCTTCAGGGGTTGAAAACCCAGAGTAACACCAAGGCCACATCTGCCCTGAGGATTAACAGACAGCCTTGGATTTTAAAGGCTTCTCACAGAACAGGAGACCAAGTTTCAGTCTCACCAAGAAGTATGTTAGAACTGAAACTTCCAAATAAAACTGGTACGCTTGAAAGGCTGACTCTTTTTCTTTTTTTTCCTTTTTTTTTTTTGAGACAGAGTCTCATTCTGTCATCTAGGCTGGAGTGCAGTGGTACGATCTCAGCTCACTGCAACCTCCGCCTTCCAGGTTCAAGCAATTCTCTGGCCTCAGTCTCCTAAGTAGCTAGGATTACAGGAGAGTGCCACCACGCCCAGCTAATTTTTTATTTTAGTAAAGACAGGGTTTCATCATGTTGGTCAGGCTGGTCTCGAACTCCTGACCTCATGTGATCCCCCCACCTTGGCCTCCCGAAGTGCTGGGATTACAGGCATGAGCCACCGCACCCAGCCTGATTCTTTTTTTAACCCAAAATGCTACAATTCTAAGCCCTTTCCCTAAGTCAGTGAATTGCTTGGGTTTCTCTAAATGTAGCATGGCATAATGAAAAGGGCAGAGATTCCAGCTTTAGGATCAACCTGGAATCCTGGTTGTACCTTTATATTAGCTGATTAATGAAATTAATAAATTTAATAAACATTTAATTTTTAATAAAAAATTAAATTATTTTTTATTTTAATCAGGTTCTATTTTATAGTATTGTTCTTTAGTACTCAGTGCAGTTCACATGTAGTTTTTTTTCTAAGCAAGTGATTGCATTTTGGAATCTTTTTTTGCATACTTTAAATCTTTTAACAAAATATGTCAACAATTTTTTAAATTTCAATAGGTTTTGGGGGAACAGGTGGTATCTGGTTACATGAATTAGTTCTTTAGTGATGATTTCTGAGATTTAGGTGCACCCATCACCCAAGTAGTATACACTGTACCCCATGTGTAGTCTTTGCTCTGTCGCCCAGACTGGAGTGCAGAGGTGCGATCTTGGCTCACTGTGACCTCCGCCTCCCGGGTTCAAGCGATTCTCCTGCCTCAGGCTCCCAAGTAGCTGGGACTACAGGCGTGTGGCACCATACCCAGTTAATTTTTTGTATTTTTAGTAGAGACAGAGTTTCACCGTGTTAGCCAGGATGGTCTCGATCTCCTGACCTTGTGATCCGCCTGCCTTGGCCTCCCAAGGTGCTGGGGCTACAGGCATGAGCCACCGCGCCTGGCCTCATGTGTAGTCTTTTATTCCTCAACCCCCTCCCACCCTTTCCCCCAAGTCTCCAAAGTCCATTGTATCATTCTTCACCCCCCGCCCCCACCCCGAGGGGAAGTCTCACTCTGTTTCCCAGGCTATAGTACAGTGGCACCATCTCAGCTCATTGCAACCTCTTCCTTCCAGGTTCAAGCGATTTTCCTGCCTCGGCCTCCCAAGTAGTTGGCATTACAGGCACATGCCACCACACCCGGCTAATCATTGCATCATTCTTATGCCTTGTGTTCTCATAGCGTAACTCCCTCAGCTTGGATTTTGATTAGGGGAGGGATCTCTCCTGAGAATTCATTACTGTATGCCTGCCAACTAATGGGTTATGAGTTTGACTGCATGCTACTGGCATGGCACAAGAAACTGTAAGTCAAAATAACTAACTTCAAGTGCTCCCTGGCTTAATGCCACCAGAATGGAAGCAAACATAATATCCTCTCTGTTAAGAATAAATGTCTAATAAAAGAGCTAACACTTCCTTTGTGCCTGGTACTGTTAAAAGACATATTTTAACATCTCTTGAAACTGTGTCTTAAAAGTGATGGCATGTCAAGTTTAACTCTGATCAATTTATCTCATTTTATGTCATCGCTGTCTAATATTTTAGTGCTATCTTTTAACCCCCTCCCCCAAATAAAATATTGTCATTATTGTCTGGATTATCATCCATTTGTAATCTGGCTCTGACATTTACTGTGTGACTTTGTATAAATCACTCAACTCGTCTGTTACTCAATTTTCTGATCTACAAAATGAGAACTGATAATGTACCTAATACACAGGGCTGCTGTAGGTAGGTGAAATGCATCTCATCTAACCTAAAGGGCCATTAATTGTAAAATTTATTGTTTTTGTACCAGTAAAAGAGGATGTTGACAATTAAAGTATTTTAAAGTCTACTTTACTGCTTGAAAAAAGAGTGAAATATTAATTTCAAGTTCTAAGCACCCATATTAAAAAATTAAGAGGAATCATTAAAGGAACATAAATATGAAATTATACATATATATATACACACACATATAATATAACATTTAGGTAAGCAGATGGGAAAAAAACAATAATTCATTCAATCTGAAAGAGAGAAAAGAATAATAGCAAAACAAAAAGGACAAAATGAGACAGAAATATTCAAATATATAACAATACATATAAATTAATGGATTCTTCAACAAAAAGACAAATGTTAGCTTGGATTTCTAATGCCAGTTATATACTATACACAGAATATCTGAAATTAAAAGGATGGGAAAAGATATACCAAAGATAATATATCTTATAATGTATTAATGAGAAGAAAAGCACAAACTAACAACAAGAGCATCAGTGATTTTTTTTAAAGTAGCTACAAGATAAAAGTATTCATTTAACTGCAGAACCATTTTGAACTTGAGTGTCCCTCATAACACAGCCTTAATTAAGTACATAAAGCAAATGTCCAAATAACTATAAAATGCAATTGACAAATCCACCATCACACTGGGAGTTTTAAAACTTTAATATGATCACACAGCTCAAAAATAACTTAAACACATACACACACCCTTGTTCCACGTCTGATCAGTTCCCTCACCCCCATAATACATAATCACTAGTTTCTTGAGCATATTTTAATGTGTCTTTATTCCAAAACTAGCAGATACAAGTAAATACAACTATTCCCTGCCTTTTCTTTTGCTCAAGTAGCAGCACGCTGCAATACACAATTACCACCTTGATTTTTTTCATTTAATAATGTATCTTTTGTAGCCAGGCAGGGTGGCTCACACCTGTAATCCCAGCACTTTGGGAGGCTGATGTAGGCATATCACTTTAGGCCAGGAGTTTGAAACCAGCCTGGCCAACATGGCGAAACCCCATCTCTGTCATAACTACTCAAATGTGCTGTTGCATCATGAAAGCAGGCATGGACCATATGTAAATGAATGAGTATGGCTCTGTTCCAATAAAACTTTATTTACAAAAACAAGCTTTGGGCCAGATGTCAATCCCTGCTGTATACCAATAATCATAATTTATGATAAACTGCTCAAAGCATCCCCTTTGAAATTAGAAACAAGACAAGATACCAACTATAACTACTTATATTCAACATTACACTAGTGATCCTAGCTGGAGAATTAAGACAAAAAAATTTAAAATACATTAGGATAGTGTAAGTAGAGAAATGTGATGTTTATAGGCAGAAAATTGAAGACAATATACAAATTAAGAGAATTCAACTAAGTTGTTAGATATAAGGCCGCTATATAAAAACCAACTACATTTCCCAGCAACAAAGTCTAATTAAAAATACATTTACAGTAGCAATAAAAACTGAAAGATACTTAGGAACAAATAAGTCTAACAAAAGATGTGAATTATCTTTCTGGAGAAAACACAAAGTTTACTGAAAAATTTTGAAAGATCAATGAAATGAAATACCACATTCATGGGTCATATTTCTTGTGCATATTTTCAATGTGTGTCAAAAAGATATCATCTGCCTCCAAACGAATCTATAAATACAATAAAATTCTAACAAAAATCCCAATGTAATTTTGTGTAGAGCTTAACAAGATGGTATTAAAATTTATATGGAAAAACAAAAGACCAAATGGAGTGAAAACAATTTTCAAAAAGAACAGGAGTAAGGGGATTTGCCATGGACACTGCCAAAAAAAAGGTCTCATACCATGACTTTTTAAAACAATTTTATTAAGATATAAAGTCATATGCCATACAATTCACCCATGTGACATGTGCAATTCAATGGTTTTTATTATATTCACGGAATTGTGTAACCACCACTACAATCAAATTTTTTTTTTTTTTTTTTTTTGAGACGGAGTTTTGCTCTTGTTGCCCAGGCTGGAGTGCAATGACGCGATCTCATATCACTGCGACCTCTGCCTCCCAGGTTCAAGCAATTCTCCTGCCTCAGCCTCCTGAGTAGCTGGGATTACAGGCATGCGCCACCAGGCCTGGCTAGCTTTGTTATTTTAGTAGAGACGGGGTTTCTCCATGTTGGTCAAGCTGGTCTCAAACTCCCGATCTCAGAAGATCCACCCGCCTCAGCCTCCCAAAGTACTGGGATTACAGGCGTGAGCCACTGCTCCCAGCCTACAAGCAATTTTAGAATATTTTCATCACCTCAAAAAGAAATCCCATAGTCACTTAGTTTCCAATACTCCCATCCTCTCCATTCCAAGGCAATCACTAATCAATCTACTTTCTGCCTCTAAAGATTTGCCTGCTTTGGACATTTCATATAAATTAAATCATAATATAAGGTCTTTTAACATAATGTTTTCAAGGTTCATTCATGTTGTAGACAACTTAATTTTAAAGCCATTAAGATAGTATACTACTGGCAAGAGATTGAAAAAAATCAAAGGAAAAGAATAAGCCCGGATACATATCTATACAAATATAGAAAGTGATATGTCACATCAAGTTTAGCTGAATTAAATAACTAAATGAGACAGGTAAACCTCACAACTTAAAAAATAACCATGATAGTATTTCATGGCCTCATGGTGAAATATTTCATATATAAGAATCAAAAACAGTACTCCATAAAGAGAAATTTAAAATTTGATAAATTAAAATAAATCTCTGTTTATCAAAAGACACCAAAAACAGAATGGAATGACAGGTCACAATGTGGGAGAAGCTATTTGGAATGCATACAGCAGACCAATAATTAATTCCTGATTATATATACAATTTCTACAAATCAAAAGAAAAAGACAATCTAACAGCAAAACGCACCAACAAAAGGAACATCCAATTCACAGGAGAGGAAAACCAAGGAGCACAAAGGTATGCAAATGCTGCATTTGCTACTAATTAAGGAAATGTGAATTAAAGCCACAGTGAAATACCATTACCATCAAATTGGTAAAAAATGTAAAAGTCTGACCGCAAGTGTTGGCAAGGATATGAAACAAAAAGAACTTTCATCTGCTGAGGACAGAGTAAACTTGGGAGAGTAATCTGGTACTAGTTATTAAGTTGAAAATGCTCATTCCCTACCAAGCAACATTAGCGCTTCCAGGTATATGCTTCAGAGGAATTCCTGAGCATATACTCAAGGAAATATATACAATGATGATCAGAACAGCCTTGTTTCTAACATCAAAGATCTAGATACAACCTAAATGTCCATCGACATTGATCACCACTGAAAATGAACTGGATGAACCTCACAAAGAATGGTAAGCAAAAAAGCAATTCACAGAAAACTATTCAAGTAGAAAAAAATGTGTAAGTATGCAAAACAACATTTTATTTAGATTAATACATATATAATAAATGTTTTAAAAATACATGTACATGATAAACTCCAAATCTAAGATGATGGTTGGATTTGGAATTTATCCAAGATGATGGTTGGATCTGGAGCTCCTCTCTGGGAGACAGGAACAAAATATGGTTATGGAGGACTATCTAGAGATTTCAAATTTATTGCTAATATTTTCTTTTTTTTTTTTTTTTGAGACAGAGTCTCCCTCTGTCACCCAGGCTGGAGTGCAGTGGCATGATCTCCGCTCACTGCAACCTCCGCCTCCTGGGTTCAAGCAATTCTCTTGCCTCAGACTCCCAAGTAGTGGGGATTACAGCTGCCCACCACCATGCCTGGCTAATTTTTGTAGTACAGACGGAGTTTCACCATGTTGGCCAGGGTGGTCTCGAACTCCTGACCTCAGGTGATTCGTCTGCCTCGGCCTCCCAAAGTGCTGGGATTACAGGTATGAGCCACCGTGCCCGGCCTATTAATAAAGTTGTGGTGAATAGATACAAGTTATTTACATTATTCTGTACAATTTGGAGACTTTTTTTTTTTTTTTGAGACAGAGAGTCTTGCTGTTACCCAGGCTGCAGTACAGTGGGGTGAACATAGCTCACTGCAGCCTCGACCTCCTGGACTAAAGTGATCTTTCCTTCTCAGTTGCCTGTGCACTATGGGCACGCACTACCACTCCTGGCTAATTTTTTATTTTATATAGATGGAGTCTCACCATGTTGCCCAGGCTGGTCTTAAACTCCTGGGCTCAAGTGATTCTCCAGCCTCAGCCTCCGAAAGTACTGAGATTACAGGTGTGAAACACTACACCTGGGCACATTTTATAATTATTTAAACACAACTGAGCAGGCCAGGCATGGTGGCTCATGCCCGTAATCTCAGCACTTTGGGAGGCCAAGGTGGATCACCTGAGGTCAGCAGTTTAAGACCAGCCTGGCCAACACGGTGAAGCCTCATCTCTACTAAAAATACAAAAAAATTAGCCAGGTGTGGTGGCACGCACCTGTAATTCCGCTGCTCAGGAGGCTGAGGCAGGAGAATCACTTGATTCCAGAAGGCGGAGACCGCAGTGAGCCAAGATTGCACAACTGCAACTCTGTTGCCTGGGCAACAGAGTGAGACTCTGTCTCAAAATAAATAAATAAATAAATACAATTGAGCAAACACTTCACATTTGTTTTAGAAAACAATGTTTTGATTACCAGAAGTTTTATAAAAGTTACTCAAAACTGGGCAAAATTAAGACTCTCCATATTATTTTATTCGGAATAATAAATAAAACAAGGTAAAAAATCTGAGTATTAACTTCACAAATAATCATTTCTAAAAGCAACACCACGAATACATTCCTGAAATAATTGTTTTTCAGGGAGAGTAACCTATAAACAATAAAATGTGTGCCACAAAAAACTATTTAATTCATTCAAGTTGTTCATTACTTTCAAGCTGTAAGTAAATCTAAATATACATAAGGAGCTACTACAGTTACACAGTTTCAAAATACAATGGTAGATCCATGTCAAAATTATATTTTAAGTTACAGCAAATGTTTTCTTCCTTCCTTAGGCTATTTTTTTGGTTCACATAAAAATATTTTCCCAACAAATTCTACTGTTGGAACTATTTAGGCCTCACCCAAAATATTTCTCTATTCATTTTCTACCAATCTCAAACAGTAAAGAATAAGTGTACCACAGCCTGGAAGTTGGCACCAACATAAGAAAATTTTTAATACTTACTGTCCTTTCCCACTTTTGGTGGAGGAAGGGGTAACCCTTAAACATCCATCCAGAACTATTCCTTTTATTAATGTAGTTTGCTACTCTCTGAACCCTTAGCTGTACCACTGCTGTACTTATCACCTTCAGCAAACACAAACTATAACTGATTTTTAATATAAATTTCTAAGCAGTAAAGAACAGATCCTTATAAAATTCAAATCCTGACAACTAAACAAATGGTATACTATCACCCTATACTGTAACTAAACTTTAATCTCCAATGGGTAAACCCATTTTACTTACATATGGATTTTGAATTAAACCTAGAAAGCATATCGTCTCTCGAGCTCTGAAAGCAGTGTTTAACCATTACTTTTCAAACTCATAGTGTCTTCTGATAAACCTAAACATCTCCTGCTTACATTTAACATTGTTATCCAGATATAAACTATCATAATATTGAACATTTTTTTTTTCCAAATCACACAGCGTTCCCAGATTCTGATACGTGTCCTGGTTGAGAGCCACTGTATTTAAGAGGAAGATTTAACAACTCCCAAAAATAGCATATTTCTAGATGCTTTCAAAGAACTGTAACTCTAGATAGTGAAAAACATAAATGGGAGATAATATAAAATGAATCAACTTACACATATAACATGTTCGTATCCAAGTCAATGCAAACAACATCTTGTGGTGGGTCATGAAGATCAAAATACCTTGAGTCAACTCCAACTATAAACGGTAAAGGTGCACTAAGCACTGCAGCCAGTGAAAGAGGACAAAGGGGAATATATGGGCACTGCCACTGAAATGGAAAGATCATCTGGGAAAAAAGTTTAAAAATTAACCAAATTTTAAATTTGCAATAAAAATTATATAAGTAACTAGTATTACTGAAAAGGGATCACTGAAAAGCAGTTAATATCACTGTTTTGTTTACCTTAAACTTCATTCCAAAACTAAATGACTATAAAATATTACTAAGCAATACTATGAACAAATGCAATTAAAATTTTCAAGTCGTGATGATGATCATTAAACACAACAAAAATACTAACAGCTTTTTGCATATTAATTCTTCTAGTATCTATACAAAGCCCACATTCCAATTTTATGGAATCAAAATAAGATAAAATGGCCCAAAATATCATAAAACAAACTTATTATCTTTAACTCTTACACATTTCATTCACCTATTAATTCTCAAAATTACCTCAGATCAAAATCCAACTAAAAGCATCAAGAATTTAAAAAAAAACTAATTACTGTCTAGGGAATGCTAATAGTTAATTAAAGAGCTCAACAAAAAAAAATTATTAACTGTTCAAATAAACATCAGTGATGTCTGGCATCTTAAAAATACTGTCAATAGGCTGGGCACGGCGGCTCACGCCTGTAATCCCAGCACTTTGGGAGGCTGAGGCAGGTGGATCACTTGTGGTCAGGAGTTTGCGACCAGCCTGGCCAATTTTAGTGTTTCTACTAAAACACAAAAATTAGCTGAGTGTGGTGGTGCATGCCTGTAATCCCAGTTATCCTGGAGGCAGAGGCAGGAGAATCGCTTGAACCTGGGAGGCGGAGGTTGCAGTGAGCGGAGTTTGCACCACTACACTCCAGCCTGGGCAACACAGCAAGACTCTGTTTCCAAAAAAAAAAAAAGAAACAGTCAATATATAAGATATTCCTCTATCTAGACATGATGAGACAGGAAAAAAAGAGAAAAAAACATTTCTCAAGAATCTTTACCTGTTTTCCTTTACAAAGATTTACTTCAATTGTATCGTTTGTGCTTTTCTTAAAAAAAAAAAAAAGTTTTGATGTTTTTTAAAAAAAGACTAAAACATGTTAAGGCCTAATGCAGTGACTCTCAACACTTTGGGAGGCTGAGGCAGGAGGACTGCTTGAGGCCAGGAGTTCAAGGCCAGCCTGGACAACAGAGTGAGACCCTCATCTCCATAAAAAATAAATAAGTAAATGAATAAATTTTTAAAAAATTTAATAATTAGCTAGTACTAAAATTTTACTGATGATAATTTTTTTCTTCTACTATAAAAATCCCTGTTATCTTTTAAGGTCGAGTTCAATTATCACCCTTATCTGTCATCATTCACCCCAAAGAAATGCCTATAACACTTACTACCTCTGCCAGCTATTACAAAGGGTTATTCAGGATTGGAATTTTGTCTTCAAACATTTATTTAGTTAATATTTGAGCACTTGCTATGTACCAATTACTGTTCTACATAATGTGATCTTAACAATAAATGAAAGAGATCACTCTCCTCATGAGGTTAATAGTTTAAGAGTCAGCAACTTTTTCTGTGAAAGACAGTAAATATTTTAGGTCTTGTGAGCCACATTGTCTCTGTCACAACCATTTAACTCTGCTGTCATGCATGAAAGCAGTCATAGGCAATATATGAATAAATGGCCTATGTTCCAATAAAACTTTATAGAAACAAGTGGCAGGCAGGATTTGGCAGGCAGGATTCGGCCATCATTTGCAAACACCTTGTCTAGCAGAAAGAGAGAAAATAAATGAAAGATATAATAAATAAAATATTATGTTATAGGCTGAACATCCCTAACCTGAAAATCCAAAATCCAAAGTGCTGCAAAATCCAAAACTTTTTGAGCACCAACATGACACAGAAAATAAATTGCTCATAGAAGCATTTAGGACTTCAGATTTTTAGATTAGGGATGTTCAACCAGCGTGTATTCTGCAAACATGCCAAAATCCAAAACAATCCTAAATCCAAAGCACTTCTTTCCAAGCATTTTAGACAAGGGATACTCAACCTGTATGTCAGGAAGTAATAAGTGCTACGGAAAAAAAAAAAAAAAAAGGAAAAGGAAAGCCAAGTGAAGGACATTAGAGTTCAGAGCAGGAGAGAGGAAAAGCAGGTTGTATTAGGACAAACAGGACAGGCCTCATTAATAAAGTGACAACAGAGCTGAAACCTGAAGAAGGTGAGAGATTTAGCCAACGGGATATATAAGAGAAGAGTGCTTCAATGAGAAGGAACAGCTAGGGCAAAGGCCTTAAGGCATGGGGAATGCCTAATGATCCCAGGAAGGTAAGGCCAGAATGCTGGAGAAGAATGAGCAAGAGGAAGAGTAGTGGAAAATAAGATCAGATTGCTGAGGGGCAGAGCCACTCACAAAGGACCCTGCAAGGACTTCAGATTTCTTGAGTGACAATTATCTTCTATTCAACAAAAGGTGTGTTACAACTGCAACTATCTAAGAAACCTTAGAAAAAAAGCTATGTGCTAGCAAAACATGATATCCTTCTCTTCACTTTTGCCTTTTGCAACACCATAGGGTCACTTTTTATAAAGTACTTGTACATTTCATCAATCTTTGCTATGGGTCTCCATTAATTCTTTGATATTCTTTGATATTTAAATCATTCTCCTTTTGAAGCATTTGTTTTGTGACCATTCTTTTCCATGTTCTCTTCTTCAAATGGTAATTGGCATAACTACCAAATTATGACTTATAAATAATTTTGCATGCAATTCAGACAGCTCTCCAACATCAGTTGCATAAACCTCATATACTCTGGCATTTTTCATATGATTACCAATTCCATGAGCACTTTTTTCAACTGTTCTTGCACCATATTACTGAAATCCATCAAGAGACTTGGCCACCACGATTCCGACAAACGGGATTGAATAAACACTAATGTTTTAGTAAGGAATATTTGGGTGGGAACTTTTTTTTTTTGAGACGGAGTCTTGCTCTGTCGCTAGGCTGGAGTGCAGTGGTGCAACCTCAGCTCATAGCAACCTCCACCTCCCGGGTTTAAGCGATTCTCCTGCCTCAGCCTCCCGAGTAGCTGGGACTACAGGCATGAGCCACCACATCCAGCTAATTTTTGTATTTTTAGTAGAGATGGGGTTTCACCATGTTAGCCAGGATGGTCTCGATCTCTTGACCTCGTGATCCACCTGCCTTGGCCTCCCAAAGTGCTGGGATTACAGGCGTGAGCCACTGCGCCTGGCCTGGGTGGGAACTTTCTAAAACTGGTCAGTTCATTAACAAATATTTTCATATTCTAACAACTTTTGCCTTCACACACAACTGTGATAACTTGGAAAAGTAATACTTAATGAGGATCCTCCTAGAAGCTGTCTCATATGGTTACTATTGTTTTCAGTCCAACAGCACTTCTCCAACCAGATTAAGATTTTGGAGACATACCCTATTTGCTGTTTTAACAAGTATTTATTGAGGGCCTACTCTGTGCTAGGCAACTGTAACAAGTGCTGAAAATACAGGAGTAAATAAGAGATTAGGTCCTTACTCCCAGGAGACTTACATTCTTAAAATGGGGAAGGGAAGAGAGGAGAGTCAGCTATTTTAAATTAAACAACTAATGGGTGATAGGGTTGGAGAAGTGGAATATCTAAAGTTCTACACAATGGCCTATAAAACCCTACACAAT